TAAAGGTAATGAATTTGCCAGTTTGTAGTGTATCTATCCACCACTCCTCTTCCTTTCTGGGTGTGGTTTTTTTGTTTTTAAAAAAGACAGGTGGAGAAGGATTAAAATGCAATAAAAACAAGTGAGTTGCTGTTGTAGAGGGCATGTACCCTGAGAATTCCTCTGGATTAGGTAGTAGCTTATTTGCTCCTGAGAAACTGGAACGTGCTTGTTGAAACAGCTGCTGTTACACCAGGGGTATTAACACTCTTGCCAGAGCCAGGTTCAGAAATTCATCCCCCTTCTGTCTTAAGTGAGGGGGAAGTAAAACTTGCAGTACGTTGACCATGTTGTTGTCCACAGGATGATGAGAGAGGTTTTGCATGCAGAAAGATGTGTTTGCAGGCTCTGTGGCTGATGATATGCGGTGAACTTAGAGTGAAAAAAAACAAAGGAGAGAAAGGAAAAAGGGTTAAAAAAACCCCAACAAACTCCTTTGCTGCTGAGGCCAGCAGGGAAGAGAAGCAGTGTGGTGCCCAGCTAAGCCTCTTCCTTGGGCATGCTCTCCAGTGCAGTGGGTGCTGACAACGATGATTTTTCACTACGTTTTCACCTAGGATGATGCACTTCTCATCGGCATCCACACAAACAGTATTGCTTGTTCCTGCTCATAGTGGGATCAAAGCATGCCTGGGTTTGTATGATGACTGGTTTCTAAGCCTTCCGCATGTGTGTTACAGGGTAATGCTTATCAGCCTTGTTATTCACGAGGTCTTGTTCTTCCTCTAATGTAAGCCAAAAGTTACAAAACAGGTTATGAACATAGTGGGGGAGAAAGGGTGATCTCTCCCTGATGGCAGTCACTTCCCGTGAGAAACCCACCTTGACAGCCCTCCTGGGGTTTGCACGGGATCCTCAGCACAGCCACAGAAGGGGAAAACACTGCCCTGGCAGTTCAGGAGAAACACTGCCGCAACAGCCTAGGGCTTACCTAGAGGTTATGGAGCAGCGAGAGAAAGGCAGGCTGCAGAACTGCAAACAGAAGACCCACAAAGGTTAAGGCACTAATGGCACTGTGTAACTATTAAAAGTATGTGAAAGGTATACAACACTTGCATCTTTAGGTAATACTGCTTTTGACAGTAGCTACTGATAAACTCAATTTCTGTAACATAAGTTTTGTTACATGTTGCAGCACTACACTTTGGTGAAACACTGAGAAGGAGTATTCAGTTTGCTAGCAGTAGCTTACATTTGTTTTTTACTTCAGCTAGTACTTTGCTGTTTCCTCTTCTAGCTAAAATCCAAATATGCATTTCTGTTATCATACTAGAAATGCTTCAGGGATCAAAGTAGATTTTGACTTAACTGAAGTTGACTGGTTAGCAAAAGACAGGAAAAATCATGTAGCTTGGTGAGCTGGTGTAACAAAAGCATTTTAAATTAATTTCCTCCAGTAGAACTTGGACTGCCTGCACCATGAGTTGGTCCTTAGGACTTAGGTTAACACATTTTTTCCTACTGACTTCTCAAATGTAAGCACAGGTAATAGAACTAAGAAAATAATAAAATGAAAGGAAAAAAAGGGAATAAATCATATGACAAAAGAACATTTTAGAAGACTGTAGATGAAAGTTAACAACTGCTCACTTGTTCATGTTTTCTCCAGGTCACAGTGCATCAACCAGATGAAAGAATTAAAAGAACAGTGTGAAGAAAGGATAGATGAGCTTACAAAAAAGGGTAGTGATGCAGCACAAATCAAAGAAAACAAAGACTTCTCAGAAGATTCAAAAAAAAGTAGCCAGGTATGGTTTGGGTAATTTCATGAACATCTTTTTATTTGAAATTCTTAAAGGGTTTTCCACCTTTCTGCTATCTCTAACTGTCATTAGCCCATCTCATTAAGTTTTGCTCTGCTTTCCTTCACATTTGTCGAATGCTTCTCATCTATGGGAAATCGAGTGATTCCAAGGACAGAACAAGGCAGAGGTCGTGCAGGAGACTCCAAATCACTGTGATTCTGAGATGGGAAGATTTTGAGAGGTGGTGCTGGGGGTGGTGCGCAGCCCATTAAAGAATATTTACACTGCTGAACTTTGGTTCACAGCTCGTTTTGACTTTGTTAAAGGACTTAGTTGCTTTGTGTGTTGAAGGTGTGTGCTGAGGATAAATTGTGCATCACTTCAGAGCAGCAGCAAGCCTTGCATATGATATTGTAGTCCAAAGATCGCTAAGATCCATCGGCTATGAATTTTCACAGAAACCCTAATTTCAGCCTTTTACAGTGTGAATGAAGGGAAGATCAAGTGGTTTAGCTGTTTGCTCTTGGATATTCTTAGTCAAAGAACCACAAAAGGCAGGCGTCGCTGCGCATGACGTGGGAAGGCTCACTAGGGTAGGGCAGGCTTGCAGCATAGGGTGGCTGCGTGCCAGCTGACTCTCTTCCTGGGATACAGAGGGCAGGAGGAAATCCTGAGAAAAGGAAGATGCATCCTGTTGTCTTGGCATGTGAATTACTGATGCTTCTTCAGTGAAGCAGGATTTGGTCAGGGATAGGACTTGATTGGTTAAGCTTGATACAGGTGGCCCTGGCAACATGCAGTGAAGCTTCTGGGCAGGAGAGCCATTAGTTTATTTCTATGTACTGAAGTAGCCCTTTCTTCAGGCTTGTGAGCACCAGTGACAGAAGTTACATTTTTCACAAGGGGTTGCACTGGGGCCTTTCCCCCATACCTGGGTGGCCAACTGTCACGGCAAAGGCAGTGAGCGTTTGGTGGTATGTGCCCTTTCCACTACAGCTAGGAAGAGGCTAAAGCAACAAGTGCTGAATCTGGGTTTTGCAAATAGCTGGAAATAGGTGGGAGAAAATGGCTGAAACATCTGCCCAGAGCCCCTTCGGTGTTCAGGTAATGACTCCAGTCTGTGTCCAGTCCTTTATATAAAATGGTGGGAGAGACAACTGCTGAAGTTTGTGACCTTTTATCCTGAGAACGTGCCTTTGTATGAGAGCTGCAAGATGAATGAAGCATTTGAGACAGGAAATGCTAACCAGTTATCCCTTTAAAAAAAAAAGGAAAAAAAAAAGAAAAAAAAAAGAAAAAAAAAGAAAAAAACAAAAAAGGAAAAAAGAAAAAAGGGAACGCTCTTGTTTGTCAGTAATTCTTATCAACAGTGTCAAGTAAATAAAAAAGTAATAATAGTAAATAGTGATGAGTAGAAAGCCCAACATTTGGCGATGATACATTTGTCAAATATATCTTATTTAATGTCAAGATATCAAATACTGTTTAGAAGTTGATGTGGGGAAGACCATACTAGAGAGGTGGTCAATTGAATTTCTAGTGTTGCTTTGCAGCAGATTTTCATTTATATTATTTGTTCAAGATGCTTTTGTTTGTTTGTTGTGAGGTTTGGGGTTTTTTTTTACCATTTCCAGTTTGGAGGGGAAATCATCCCTGAAGGAACTTGAGGAGTTTGGCTGAAGCCCTTCTGCAGGACAATTCCAGTCTCCTGCAACAAGTCCCATAGCGGGAGGCAGTCTTTACTCACAGTAGGCAGTAGGTTAGGCAGGGCAGGTTATCTGTTCTCCGTTTTATCTATAGATGGGATGGTCCCAGATGATGTAACCACTAATACAGCTACAGCCTAAATAAATTTTGTCTGCTTGTGTTCCCTAGTATCCGTGACAGTGTTTCGTATGTCAGCTTATAACCTTCTCAGTTGTTTGCCCAAGAATTGCAACTTTTTGCTTGTACAAAAGCTGAGTTATTTATCCTTAGTGCAAGGTAACCCTGAGGAAATCTATGTATGTTTTTAGCCCCTGTTTTTAGCTGGAATACCTGTTCATAAGGTGTACATGCTTATGTAACAGAAAGGTCAGAGTTAAAATAAAACAGAGAAAGAAAACGGAGTGTTGGTTGGTTGGTTAATGAATATACACCTTTTCTTACAGCTCTGTATTTTAAGGAATGATGTATACTTCTCGGTCGAGGAATATACAACATGTTCCAATTACTATCTTTTTATCCAACTACTTAAAAAATTTTCAACATACAACTTCTTAATTTATTCAACAACATCATTAAGAATTACTGAGCTAGAAATTTAAGATAAGGGCTTTTGCACATTTAATTAAGAGGTAATTTCTTGCTATTAAGTGCAGGCTCAGTATTTTTACAGAAGAATTCATGCCCAGCATAAAGTGAAAAATGGTGTTATGTTCAGTTTCTGATGATTTCTACTGTAGAGAGTGACCTTGAGAGGCTGAATTATTTATAAAAAAAAGAAGCATTTTTAAATACAGCATTTTTGTTGTATGACTGGAGGAAGATGCAGTTTTTCTGAATGTCCTTACAGCAATAACCAAATATTCTGTGGTAATACTTGCTTCTCAAGCTTTCATAAGAGTTAATGCTAGATTATTTGTTGTTGATGTGTGACTTGGTGTTGTTGACCCAACAAGGTCTTTAGTTCTGCCTGGCTTTGACTGAGCTTGAACATTTTCAAAACAGCCAAGTGATCGTATCCTACAAATCCTCTACCACTTCTTTCTGTAGACGTTTTTCCAAATGACTGTGTGAACACTTGACAAGCTAGTGTTTTATTGACCCGCTTAGAACAAGGGGTAGCTACAGTCTCACAAGTAAATGTAACAGAAAACTTCCTGTTGACAGCATGACTTCCCATACCATAATGTTTCCTATTAATTTGTATAGTACCAGGTATAAAAAGGTTTATGTCTCTAAATGTCTATATGCTTGTTCTTTGTCTGTGTCTTCTGATTATTTTTTTTTAAACAAAACCAACCCCCCCCCCAAAAAAAAAAAACGCCATAGAACAGTTTCATTACAGTCTCTTTTTTTGCAATGAAGGCCCAGGTGCAGCACAGGCTCAGGCACATTTTACATTCAGCATTTGTGTGAACAGAATTGACAAAGATCTCAGCCAATTAAATGCTAATTTGAGTAAAAGTTGTAAATAGAATTTTAATTGCTAAATTTTACGATCTTCAAGGTGGTGTACATCTTTGTCATGAAGTCAGATGGGTCAGATGCTGAGAGCAGTCTAGTACCAGTATTTAATACATTCTTAAGTAAGCTCCATCACGTTAAACAGATACTGTTGTCTAGTTGGTTGATTGACATTTTTTTCTCTTAATCCTGCATTCACCATAGTTTTAGACCAGTTCTGTACTTGCTTAATTGAAGTCTTGTTATGCCCAAACTCAGTTTACCTGTCCCTCCCTACAGATGACTAACTAGTTAATGCCATCTGGTTTTTTGCTCTGCTGACCCTGCCATGGTAGCAGGAGAACATGGTAACAGTGGAGAAATGTGTGGTGTCACAGAACTGTGACTCTCAGAGAGTAACAGTGTTTACAAGAAACACTAACCAAGAACAATAATGTCACATTTAGTTGCAGTCAGATTAAAGAACATGTGTTAAATTGTCCCTATGTGTCATGATGTTATATAGAAACACCACTGCATATTCAAGATGGTATGGTACTTCCATCACCAATAAAAATTTCAGTCCAAATATTTCTGAGTGTGTTAAGATTTACCCACCCCCCCAAATTCTTACTTAACTTCCATTTCCATTTCCAAATCCAGAAGTAGTTATATAGACCAATGCTTATCTGTATACATTCACTTTATGGGTTAATATTCAGCTGCCAGCCTTGAAGCAAACAGAGTTCAAGCAAGCTGACTTGGAACAGCAGAAACACAATGAAGATGTACCTAAAGCAATACCTACAGTAAAAAAGACAGACTCGTTGCAAGATAAAGGTGAGCTGTAAATAATTGTTTTACTAGCAAATGGTTATGAACATTTGTAATTTAATTGAACATTTAAAAAACATTTTTGTACACAAGATTAAGATGGAAAAAGTGACACCAGTAGACTGAACTATAATGAATTTTCCAGCTGGAGAGGTATAATATTTATTCAAACATTTTTATTATTAGCATTTCTACTGGTTCAGTTTTGCTGTAATTGACATATTGCATATAAAGGAAAATACAAGTATTTACAATTCTGGATTCCTATTCCTCATTTAATATGGAGAAAATATCTTGCTTTTGGAAGCAATGATTTTCAAGCATGTTTAAAATTTGCTTTTTTAGTAAGACACATCTAGCCTGCGACCCCACCCGACAGAATAGCTGAAAGTTAGGTTTTAAACACACACCCATACATCCCACGTGTTGGTCACTGAGCAAAATGCAAGTAAGGGAAATGATACGCAGGAGATCAGATTAGTTAACCTAATGGTTGCTTTTGGCACTAAACTCTCAGAAACTATTAACGTGAATGGAGGTATCCTAGTGTGTCAGTCTCACATAGTACTGTGTGTGATATAAATTCAATTTCCTATTTAATTATTCTCACATGCTATCTTAAATTACAATCTTGGGAGTATGCAACTCTCATTTTAGAAAGCTAGCAATTGAAGACAGTATCTATATATAGTTTATTCAGGCAAATTTTATCATGATCTTTTCAGTTAAAAATACAGACACACAGAAAAAAAAGATACATTAATGTCTGCTAAAAGTAATAGCCATCCTGCACTTCCTCTTCATACTAAAAATAAGAACAGCTTTGATTTTCTTGCAGATCTGCCCACGTGACTGCTTTGTCCTGAGCTACTTTTCAACTCCAAATCAGTGTTATTAATGAAATGTAACATGCAATCCTGATGCTTATATAACACACTGCAATTATGTAAACTACTCTGTTTCACCTGCTCAGCTTATTAACTGCACATTTTAATTAGGTAGAAGTGTGACTCTGACAGTAAACAATGCCACAGTAGTCTCTACAAGTCTCATCCTTTAGCTGTTCCCAGTAGGAAAAACATGTTACCTTCCTTGTCTGTCTCTTTGGAACTGATGTGGTTGAAAGACACTCTTACCAAGAATTGAACGAGAAAGATAAAGCAATACTTATTAAAGGTTTTTAACTTGTAACACCACTGAAAGGCATTAGGTTTTTTACTCAGAATCATTTATATTGTTTACAGAAAGAATAAATGGCCTAGCTGACATCAGAAAACAGGAGCCTAAGGCAGAAGAGGACAAGCTTTCTAGCGAACTGAAAAACCCACAGGATTCAGTTAAGGTGACTGCAGGTCATAAGGAAATGCTGCCTCAGTCAGAGAAGGAGCTGAAGCCATCTGAAGATGAAAAACATGTAGCGGAGCAAGATGCGTCACAGCTGGCAGCAGAACAGCCTGCCAGTGAGGAAATTGAGAGGGAGCAGCTCCTAAATTATGATGCGAAGCAGGATGACTTGCCCCCCGGAAACCCTGGTTGGTAGCACGTCACGTACTGTTAAGAACAGTAAAGAAATAAAAGCGTGGCATCACTTCTGCAGCAGTGGTGGCAGCTGGCTGCACTTAGCATAAGGTTTCACAGGGGTTAGTGTGAGATGTAAAAGGCCAGTCAGTCCCAGCAGTCTTCTACACTCTCTGGGTTCTCTTTCTGCAACATGGAGCTACCAGGCTGGGTTCTTCTGCACCACCATAGCAGCCCACCTGTACAAAGCATTTGGGGAAATTAGCCCTGAAATTTTTTCGTATTAAGGCCTTGTAAGAATATGATGCATTTGAAAAGGATGTTAACCATCCACAGCACTGATGAGTAGAGAGATACCAAGTATCGATGTTTTGCAGAAAGTCAAGTTTTCAGCATTGGCTTCAGGTTTTGCTCTTCCTTAGGCTGTCCTTTAATGTATTCTGAAACTGTTTAATGCTTTTCCTTTCTGTCAATCTGCGTGCAGACTGAATTCTATTACACTTTCCAAATCCCAAAAGATTCTTTTATCTAGTTCTTTAGACAAGACTTACAAAAGCTGCTCTGAAAATTAAGAGTTCAAAAGGGAAAATAGTATGAAAGCCTACTGTAAACAGCAATTCATTCAGCAGCAAAGTAAATTCTGTGGAAGATTGTTACAGTAACTGTTGTGCAGATGACCTTATGGTATAGTATAAACGTAATTACTTTTAAAATTTTCCCAGACAAACAGGAACATGAAGCACTGAACAAGGACAAGGATGTTGATTACAATTTAGATGAGAATGAAGCTGAATCAGAAACGGACAAGCAAGCAGCACTTGCAGGGATTGAAAATGGTAAAAAAAAAAAAAAAAATTAACCTAAGTACCAGATGCTAAAAACTTTAAGATGATATTTTGAATGGTATCCTGTAGCAGATATAGCTAGCTACTTTGTTTGTTCTTTGGGCTTTCCCTCATGTTGACGGCACGACCTGTTTTCTGTGTAGCATCACTGAAGCTGCTGTTGAACAAGCAGTGGGGAGGGACAGTATTCGTAGCTTTACTGTACTACACAGTACTTAAGAGTCCTTTAAAATTTCTCCTGCTGTGTTCTAGACTGTTTTCTAGATGAACTATCACTTTTGTCTCTTAAAGAGATTTCTGTACCTTTTTCTTTTTTCATAATTAGTTCAAAACCCTGAAGATACGAAGAACCACTTATCTGAGCAAGGTGAAGAACGACAGAGGTTGTGAGCAAAGGAGGTTCATGATGCAACTTAGTCACCTCTTCATATAAATGTAGCAATGATGAGAGCAAAGTGATCTGAGAATGTTTTGATTATCTTCTCAAGGCTTCAATAAGGGCCCAAATGAAGTAGTATTTTCTTGTGAAGTTTTAGTACTGTTTCAGTGGTGAAAAAAAAGTCTTAAATTTCTGGAAGCTTGTTTTAAAGCAGCCTGACCTCTGCAATGACTGTTTCCTTCCTACTGGTTATAAAATTGAAACCAGGTAGCAATAAGTGTAGTAACTTTGAAGTCAGCTAACTTGTACAGTCATACTACAGTAACAATACGTGTAGATGGATGGTAGATGAGAAAGAGTCCTCTGCCAAGGATGGATTTCTCCCCTGGGCTATACAGTAGAGAAATCCCCAGCCAAGTTTTAAGAGGAGGTAACTTGACTAAACATGGCAAAAATGGCCCATACTGCAGTCTACCTTTGTGCCTATTCTGGCACCTTTTTACTGTAATATATAGAGTCAGAAAGCATGATTGTAGACCTCAGATACTATGTAGTATGATATACTTTCCTGGGCTTCCTAAATGAAATTGCTAGCTTACACTATCTGTAACCAGGCTGAAACACTGTCCTGGTTGTGTTCCTAGCTTTTAGGTTAAAAAAAAAAAAAAAAAAAAGGATTCTGTCAGTACTGTCCTCTTATTAAGAGATTAGCAGGATGATTTTTCTGAAAGCTTTGGACTCCTGTTCACAAGATCAGTACTACAGCATAGTTCAGTTACCACTAACTTGCACAAGGTCAGAGAGTAAAAATTCAAACTCCTGAACTTTTCATGACAGAAGCCATCTGAAATGGTGTGCTACAACCACCCTTTACTCCACTCAGCCACGATCTTCTGCTAAAAAGTAGAAAGGCAACTGCTTGCCTTTGTAGAACAGCAATTTCAGCTGTTCAAAGTGACTCATCTTCTCTGCTGGACTTTTGAAGGAGCTAAACTAGATTATGCATTTACCAGACAGCTCAATGTCACCCACAGGTGAGCCTGTAGTTGTTGTGAAGTCCTGTGTTATGCACAAAATATCATGTTGTTACTGTCCTGTAGTCTTTGACCTTGCTGTAACTTGTTGAATGTAAACAAGAAACTAGTTTACTTGTGATAACCTAGAAATACCCTCTACTACCACTAAGGCACCCGTAACTGCAGTTAACTTGCCAGGCAGCAGTTCCATTTCGGAAAATACAAATTTGTCTTGGCTTTTCTTAACGCACTTAATTTTGTAACTACTTTTTCAGGCTGTTATTCCTCAGTGTACTAGTTTAGTTTACAAGTCCTGTACCTTAAGATGGCTAAACATGCAAGTGAAAGGTTGGTTCTTTTGCGTATGAAAAGGGTATGAGTTGTCATCAAGTGAATGGCAGGGGTCAAGTCAAATGGTGGATATTAAACCTCAGTAAGTAAACAGTTCACTGAACTTGAATTCTTCTAAAAAAAAAAAAGCACTAACTTCCATTACTGGGTTCTTGGTTACTCTGCTTTTTTCACCATTTAAGTCAGACTTAACTGGTCTGGGCTACTACAGACAATCCAGCAGGGAAAACAAATGCTGGTAAGCAGGAGAGAAAAGGAGGTATGAGCATCTCTTCTAACTGACAAGTACTGGGAAACTTGAGCTATTAAGGATTTTTTTTTTAAATAATGGCATGTTCTAACATCAAAATGTTTACCTGTATTCTGAGTAAAAGGGGCATTTTTTTCTAGGACTTAATCTGTAAACAATTATGTAGCTGATACAAAGTTAATCAGGAATTTAATCATGATTGTTAAACAGAATATATTCTAACAGTATAAAATGTACAGTGAAACACTGTCTTCAAGTTGAATGAATGGCTTTAACTTGATACTGGTAAAATCCCAAACAAGATCCTTAAGGTAATTAATATATTGCCAGAGAATTCTTTTAAAAGTGTTTTGGCTGTATTTCTGTACAGTACACAGCCTGACTGGGCTCCTCACTAGCCAGCCAGATGTCCTCTCCATAAACCAGACCCCCTTGGTACAAAGTGCACTTGTTACACCTCTGACGGGGGGGCTCTGAAAACCTGCCTAAGAGCAATATTCAAAAGCATAAAGGAATACAGTCTTATTCTCAATGGCTTCAAGTACTACAGGTGCGTAACTAGCGTGGTAGATTTCTGGTAGACAAGGGGCCTCTATATAGAATTTTAAAATTAAATGACTTTAGTTGAACAAAACAAGAGATTCATTTGTAACTGTGGTGTGTGTAGTGTTGTGTATCACTAACATTTTTAGTTGTGTGAGACAGGGAAAGCTGCTTTGCTGTAATCATCTTCGGGTTAATTTAAACACTTGTCCTTGATGTTTTTTTAAAAAACTAAGCCTGATCCATTTTAGATAAGCATTTTAAAATAAAAATAAGCTTCTTTACTGTGTATTCACTTTATTCTGTACCGTTCATATACTTCTAATGTTAATGAATATGCAAAAGATGATCATTCCTATTTTCTTAGTTTTATAAAGGATAAGGAACTAGGTTTCTCTTTTACTTGCTGCTTCCTTTGAACAAATACCAAAGGCTGTCCTTGAGCTGCTGTCATGTAGTTCAAGATTTTTAAAGAGAGGAAATATTTTTGTGATTATTTACAAGAAGGCAGCAAACGCCAGATGAATTCTCAGTGCCCTGCACTAGAACCAGTTTGCCATCTTTGCAACTACGTTCTCCAGGATTTTCATTCTTTTGGCAGTGATACAGAAGTATTCAAGTATATTAATTGTGATGATAACAAACATGTAAAATGGTATGCAGCCTCCTTAGCAGAGAAATTGGGAAAAGCGTGCCTTCACAGCAGTATTCCTGCTTATTTCAAGAAGCTGCAAATTGCTGGCAGACAAACGGGTATACCACTTCAGACTTTCTTCACCGTTTTCTAGCTCAGCAGTGCTGCTGCTTAGGTGATGAAGCTGAAGTGGCATTACTCCACAGTACAACTGTGTGTTAGGAGAAACACAAGAGTCTTGCATTGTGAAGAGGAAGTTACAAGCTTATCACTATGGAGGACTCAATTTTGCACCAAAATGAAGAATTGTCCTGTTCAACACAGTCAAACCTGAAGATTTGGTTTTATGGCCTAGGTGCAGTATGGTTTACCAAAGAGCAGGTCAGCTTTTTACACTTTATTTTTTAACTACACTTAAGCACTACAGCTTACTTCTACTATTTCACATCTGGAAGCACGGGAGGAAGAACTTCCAGTAAGGAAAGGGTACATTTGAGGCTCATGTTTGAGATTTCTACCTGTATCAACTAGAAGGCAATAGGATCCAGCAGCAGCATTGCAGTCCAAACAAGAGAATGAAGGTCAGGCAAGACCTGAACCGGCAATGCAACAAATTGGCAATCCCTCCTTTGCAATGGCAAAGTAACAACAGGATTGACATAAAGTTGCAGAGCAGTTAAAATACATTCCTCTTGTCTTGTGTTCCTGCGTGACTACTGAGTGTCAGCTACACACATTCTCCAGCAGCGAGAAAAATAAAGACAAAGGAAGAACCTGCAACTAGAAATGACTTACACCATTTCTCGCTGTCTTCAAGGTTCAAGGACTTCTACATTTCAGACAAAATACCTCCTAGATAATTGACTTCAGTAAAATAAGAATAATTGAATTCAGTGCAGTAGGAGCTAAATGACTAGTTTTCATCTGCTCTTAATTCCTATGAATTGTTTTAGTTTGCAGGACTTTGCAAGTAGAAAGACTGGTGGGTTTTTTTGCCAAGTCAGCAAATTTGATGCAATTTAGGCAAAAATATGGAAGCTCACAATCTCTCCAAGTGGCTTTGTTCAAAGCAGAATTTTGGTAGCTCAGCTATGCCTATGAGACATGGGGCTCTACTCTGTTATTTCTATTCAATTACTAAATTCCTAAACCACCATTTTATGTCAGAGCTCATTCATAAAAATGATTTTTGATTAAATCTGTAATAAAAGGTACAACATTCTTCAATACGGTTGATTAAAAACAGCTTCACCCATAAAACTTGATACAAACCACTTTAAAACAGCAGTTGCCATTCAGATCATGTAAAGTAGGCAAGACTATAGATATTCCATGTAACAGTACTCTTATCCTGGAGATCCCTCTCAGTCTGTGTACAGTACTAGATATTTCATCTTACAGCTGGTTATGCTTCAGGTATCCTAACAATAATCTCTTGTCTTTCAAACAAGCTTCACAACTGGAAAATATTTATGAGGGGAGAAGTCAAATTCTGGAGGAACCTAGAAAGACAAGATTTAAAACATTACACTGCAGTACTACTGAGTTTAATACTCAAAATGATGGATACCCTGCAGCTAGAAGAAAAAACCAGCAAAAGATTGAAGAAAAAAAAAAACCTAGTTTTTTAATATCTGAAAAATATTCCAACCCAGTTCTGGATATGCCAATGTTCTCCAGCCATGATGGGCACAAAGCTGTACGATGATGGTGTGCCTCTCCAGCATGCTCCTTCATTCTTCTGTGCCTGGCTTTCAGCAG